ATGTTGCAGGTTCAGGAAATATTGCAGGTCTCTGAACCCTCTTGCGCGGTCCGCGAGAAATCGTGTGCGGCCGTAGAGGGGCCACCGCGTCCGCGGTCGCCTTTGAGCGGTCTGCGGTGGATGTTGTACAGCCACGGTTGGCTTTGTGCGGTCCGCACAGGGCTATGATCTGCAGGTCTTCAGGGAGGCCTGTGCGGCCGCGGTCCACACAGGGAGTTTCAGAGGGGTATAAATTCACGTGAATTTCAGTTATTTTTACACTTTTCAAAACCCCAAAACGTAAGAGGCGATTTTCTAAACAACTTTTCTTCTCCAAAACGATTGGTAAGTGATTTCTAACTCATTTTCTTCATTTCTTAACATCTTTTAACATGATTTCAACTTCAAATCAAAGATTTTCATGGGGAAATTGGGTGTTTTGGGTAGAACCTAGGTTTTCTAAAATTGGGGATTCGGACCTCAATTTGAGGTTCGATTTCAAAACAAACCATATATTTGGATTTGTGGGGAAATGGGTAACCGGGTTTTGGTCCGAACCTCGAATTTCGACCACGTGGGCCCGGGGGCATTTTTGACCTTTTTGGGTAAAACCTTGTAAAACTTATTTTCATGCATTGGGGTTGACTCATTTAGCATTTATTGATGTAATTAAGTAACTTATGACTAGATTCGAGCGGATTGGTAGTGGAATCAAGAGGTAAAGCTATAATTGAGACTTGGGTGGTATTTAAGGCATCGAGGTAAGTGTTTGGTCTAACCTTAACTTGAGGGATTAGGAGTGGAGTCATATTTGCTACTTGCTTCTTGTTGAGTACGACGTATAGGCATGGTGACGAGCATCTATACGTTGGTGTCGAGCATGACAGTGAGTCTTAAATTGAAAGTGGTTGTGTCCTTAAATGACATTTCAGATGCTTTAATTAATGATCTTCTATATTGCGCAAAGAATTGTTCTATCCTCGCAGATCTTATTTATGTTTGAGCATTGTCATTATTTGGGCTGAGTACAAGCTAAGTTAAGATTGGTTATAGCTGATTCTCCCTTGCCGGGATGATTGTTTCGATATCTTTGTTCCCTTGCCGGGAAACTATTATATTGCTTTTGTTCCCTCGCCAGGAGGTTATTATATCGCTTATGTTCCCTTGCCGGGATTTCTTGTAATTGTGTGATGAAATGGGAGCGGGTGGTACGCCTACCACAAGATATTATGAAATGGGAGCGGGTGGTACGCCTACCACAAGATATTATAAAATGGGAGCGGGTGGTACGCCTACCACAAGATATTATGAAATGGAAACTGGTGGTACGCCTGCCACAAGATATTATGAAATGGGTNGTTGACTCATTTAGCATTTATTGATGTAATTAAGTAACTTATGACTAGATTCGAGCGGATTGGTAGTGGAATCAAGAGGTAAAGCTATAATTGAGACTTGGGTGGTATTTAAGGCATCGAGGTAAGTGTTTGGTCTAACCTTAACTTGAGGGATTAGGAGTGGAGTCATATTTGCTACTTGCTTCTTGTTGAGTACGACGTATAGGCATGGTGACGAGCATCTATACGTTGGTGTCGAGCATGACANGAAATGGGATCGGGTTGCACGCCTGCAACAAGACGAAACTGAAAGTGAAAGTTGCCTTTATTTTCTTCATTTGTGATAGAAGTTATATTGCTAGCTTCCTTATTATTCCTTGTTATTTTCTTTTAACTGCTATCTCCGAAGCATGTTTTCCTTCCCCAGCTTTAAGTGATTATTACTTGTTTACTTTTCCGCCATATATTGTATAACTGCACAGGTTTATCTGGAGTCTAGTCCTAGCCTCGTCACTACCTCACCGGGGTTAGGCTAGACACTTACCAGCACATGGGGTCAGTTGTGCTGATGCTACACTCTATGCTCTTTTGCACAGATCCAGGTCCTAGACAGCAGTAGTAGCGCAAGAGCCAACCTTCAGTCCAGTGAGACACCGAGGTAGCCTTGCAGGCGTCCGCAGGCCTGGCGTCTCGTCTATCTTTTATTTTAGTCTGTTATCTCATGTATTCGAGACAAACAATTTATATTCTTTCAAACGGTTGTATTTAGTACTCCTCGAAGTTCGTGAGTAATGTGACACCAGTTCTTGGGTAGAGGCATATGTTGATTCTCGCATTATTATTTCGTCTTCTTTAATTTAAGTCTTCCGCATAATTATTTAATTCTGTTGCTTCATGTTATCATTGACTATTATTAAAAGAAGTAATTGTTAATTAAGTAAGCAGTTAAGGATTGGCTTGTCTAGCTCACATTAGTAGGTGCCATCACGACTCCCGATGGTGGAAAATTCGGGTCGTGATAATTATATACCGTAATGGTATACTGTTAGGTAATTGTGTTCTTCTTCGATTATTATAGTATACTGTTGCAGTATATTGTATACTATAATAGTATATTGCTACAATATAGCTATATACTCCTACAACATATTATATACCATAGCAGTATACTATTAAGTAACTGTGTTTTTCTTCGATTTTCAGCGGAAAGATTCGATCTCAATTGTTTACCTCGAAAAATGTGGGTAACAATTAAATATGATTTATGGTTTTAAAAATATGTGATTTATTCCAATACTAGTGAATGTACAAATAATATTAAGTTTAAGTAAGAAGAATTGATGAACCAAACCAGTGTTGTTAGAGCAATAAGGACCTCGAGCTCGATTATCTCGGGGGTCTCGAGGTGAGCTAAGAGCAATAAAGTATGAACAATAAAGTAAAGACAATAAAGCCGAAGAACAATTGTTAAGCACGGTAAACAAGAAAAGCAGAGTGGAATGTTCTATATTGCAGTGAATGGGATGATCCTTACAAATAATTTGGGTCCCCTTTATATAGGAGGGGAAAACCTTAATATGGTACATTTCAAATTATGATAAAGAATTCTATTGGTACAACTGTATAACATCCTAGTACGGACTTGTACTATTTCATACAAATCTTATCTCATAATTTATGACCTGATCCACATGTCCTTGAGAAATTCCCGCTCTTTCTTGAGTGTCCTCGAAATTGTACTGCCCTCGAGACAGATCATGATGGGTCTCCGATTTGCTTCTCGAGGTGTACTTCGAACTTCCCGAACTCGGGCTCGGAGTGTAATCAAGTCTCCAAAATAGAGTTCTCTGATTTCTACCGTATATATCAATCATCTCAAATCAACTTCAAATGTGCTCAAATTTCAGTATGAACTTCCAGAAGGTACTATAAGCAAGATTTAATAACCCCACTTTGAATCAAATAAGAAATCTTCAAAAACAAAAATTGAGCTTCAAGCCAACAATGGTGGATATTCAAACACATATAAAAATTCAGATTCGGGAAGCTTACTTGAAGATACTATAAGCAATATTTTATAGCACCCACATCGAATCAAACAATAAATTTTCAAAATAAAATTTCAAATTTAGAAGCTTCAAGCTCAACAATGGTGGGTCTTCATACACACAAAAATCATAAGGAAAGAAGGTAGAGCAATAGCTTGGGTTGACCATCTTAATGAAGATCGATCTGGCAGAGAAGAAGTAGATCCATTCAAGTCCACTACCCGGTAATCTTGCAAAAATGAAGTCGAATGTTTTTAACATTATGTACTTCAAATGAGAAGATGGGAGGGTCGGGTAAATAGTTTGGGCTGCATAGGTAGAAGTAAATAGTTTAGACTTGAGTATTAAAGGGTAAATAGTTTGGGCATATAAAGTGAGATTTTCCCGACATAAAACCCACATCTTTTATCACTTTATTATTAGGATTTTGATGTAAGGGTTATGTCAATAAAAAGAAAATTAGGGACATGTTCAAAAGATGAATGATCAATTTCATTGATATTTGATTCTGCAATAAACACAATTTTTGCAATAATTAAACGGATAATTGATATACCTTTTTCTTTCAAAATTTTTAAGGCAATATATAATCCTGATAGTTAATTTTCCTTTCGAGCATATATTGGAGGAGTATGTATTTCATAGTCAAGTTAATATTGAAATCCATATAGGCATATACTAATTGTGTTTACACTTTTATAAATATCGCTACGCTATATATATATATATATATATATATATACATATATATATTTTTTAGTAATTAATAGGAGTACCACTTATATTATAAGTAGTATCGGAGTAGTAACAACTTTCTCTCTTCTGGGCACTGCGCCCAGTAAACCTCACAACATCCCAAAATGGCCGGAGACCTGTTTGAAGATTTGCCTCCTCCGGCAGCGCCACTAACTTCCGTCAATGGTTCCGCCGTCACTCTTACTGAGGCTTCGGAAGCACCCCCACCACCGCAACCTCCACTTCCGCCTCCTGCTCTGAAGAGTGCCCTCAAACGTTCCAAACCACCTGCAGAATCACAGCCTGAAAGTAGGTCAATTTTCTGTTCTTACCCATAATAAGTTCGAACTTTCTAGGGTTTGTGTTCCAAGTTTGATCAAATAGATAGGTGGCTTGTTTAATTTTAAGTTCCTCTACTTCAATTCGGGTTGTTGTGGTGCTCCTTTTTCGAATTTTCCAATCCTTCAGGTCAATTTTGGTGGCGGACAAAAAAATTTAAATTGGGAGCTAGAAAAGGCTGCAACCTCAATCCAATTGTTGCGTCCTGTTACTCTAGTGATACAAGCTGAAGCAAATTAGTCTATGCATGTAGGCTATATTAATTGAGAATATGTTTTAGGCTTTAGCACTACTACAGTAGGTAGCAGTGCTTTCTAGGAGTGGTTTAACCTTTCAGATATTTGTACCTTTAGGCTTTAGAAAATATACAGAACTCCTAATGCTTTTTATTTACATTTGCATCATTGGCCTGAGATGATAAATGGAGAAAGTTATTATCCATATAGATCCAACTTGTTTGGGATTGAGGCATAGTAATAGTAATAGTCATAGTAGTAGTAGTAGTTGTTGTGATTTAGTATTGCAAAGAAAGAGGCCATATATGCTATTTTATGATTGAGGCGTACTTCATGGATTAATCTATCCACTTTCTGTGATACATATTCTAGCAATTCATGTTTTGAGCATTTCTCTCGTTCATGGTCCTAGGCCTACAACTTGTTACTATTTGTTTGTTGTTGTTTGGTGAATATTTGAGTTGGGTAAAGTAAGTGGCTGTTGATGACTTGCAGCTTCTGCTCCTGAAAAACGACTGAGGTTTAAAACAACCACGGATGCCTCAGAGACGCAAGTTATTGAAGCCATGCAAAAAATAGCATCACATATAAAGAACATTCCAAAGTTTAGTAAAGCGTCAAAGCTTGCATTGCAGCTGATTCATGCTGGCAGTGTAAAGCCTGCAACTAGTGACCATTTCTTTGCCATTCTTGAAGCTGCAATGTCATCGCCTACCACCTGTAATGAGCCCTCTGTACGAGCAGATTATCACGAGTTGTTCACAGCTGTGCAAGATACAATTGAAGTAAGCAGTGCATCATTTGTTTACAAGCAGTTTTGTTTGATTCTTCTTATAGTGTAATTTATCTGATTATAATTTTTTTCATATGCAGTGTCTTTCAAAGAAACAGCAAAATATGATAACTACATGGACCATGAGGGCGGTGGTGGCTAATGACCTCTTCACCGATGACAGTTTCGTGGTATGCTTTCGTTTCATTTTACTTGCAACTTGCAAGCGCCTCTATTTCAGCAGAGTTCTATTTGGTTTTTTACTAAGAGTTTCATGCATTTTTATTCTGGAATTAGATCAATCACTTTGAAGGCACTCATTTTGTTAAGTATTATGAAGGCACTTTAATGAGAAGCTCTTCTTCACTTAGATTCCTTGCAATTTGATCTGATGTTGGGTTATAGACTGCGTGTCTACTATTTAGTTCAGTGAGGAGTTGTATGAAGCTTCTGGATTTTTCAAAATAGTAACACTTTCGCTCATGTAGGGAGTAAGGAGTCTGGAATTGCATGGTTGACTCAAAAGGAAATGGTTGTTGAAAGTCAAGAGAGTGTTAGGTTCTCCAACTACCAAACATGTACTTTTACAAAGTTACCATTCTCAAAAAAAAAAAGTTAATTTACAAAGAGAAAACAAGTGAGGTCTTGCAAACTATTTAGGTGAGAAAAGAAAGCTTCTAGTCTATCAACTAATAAAAAAAAGATTTTAGGTTATCAATCCGTATTAGGGAGCCCATATGAAAGATGAACCCATTACAAGCTCATTCAACAGAGGCTCGGTGATGGCTGGAGAGTGACAGCGACATGATAATCTTACTTGGCATAAATTGAACATTGAGATAGAAGTATTACTGCTACATACAAAATGTAGAACGGGTAGCTAGGAGACTAGATAGAGTATGATTTTTCACCTTATAGACACTTTTGCTTGGCTTGAATAGGCTGACTGCCGAATGAAATGAGCTCTGCAATTTTGAGCTTGAGCTCGAGAACAACTGACACCCAGTTTAGCCAAGATCGAATAGCCTGTGATCCAGCTCAGCTTGGTCTTTGTCTGAAAGCTAGTCCCGTAAGATTTCTTTACCTCAGAATGAGCCAATGAGGGGCTGTGCTTTAATAACAAAATGCTAGGTTCGTAGGAGGCATTTGCGAGGTGCTGCTTGACCTTATAGTTGAACCTAAAGGTTTCTTGATTCAATCAAATTTCTGGCTTGAGGCAGAGCAGTTTTATGTATGTTTGTTGTAAAACGAGAAGGATAGAACACCAAACAGAGTGCAAGTGACATTTGAATTGACTTTGCTAAAATATTACTGATCAACTGAACCTCTCATTTCACACCATTGAGCAAACATTGTTGGCAAAGTCCGCAATTGCTTAAAATTTTTCAGATTTAAGAGTTGATGAAGAATTTTATGAGTTTATTGTATCATAGCAAGAGGGGCTTAGATGCCGGTGTCTAAAAGCAATCATAATTAGCATGTTTTCAGAAGCAAAAATGGACATATTGCATCTTACCCTTTTGGTTTTATTCCACATGCAAAATGAAAGATTAACAACCTATATGAAATCTGAAACTGCACCTTCTTCTCTTGGTCCTTTCCTCTATTTCCTTTGAGCTTATAATATATCTCTGCTGGGCAGTTGGCATGTCAAACAAGGGCTATTACTGTTTTCAATTATGTGGTTAAACTGCATATTATTTTCTTATGGTGAAAGCACCTACATGACATCTAGGTGCCTGGCAACTTCTATGAGAAACACTCTGAATCTCTAAGTAGGTACTTCTTGTTCGCAAACATGGATAACATCAGCTAGCATGTAATACATTTATTGCTCCAATCAAGATTGGCCTGAACTGCAAAAATTCCATTGGAATTTTTATGCTGGTTTAGGTATAGACTTGAAGAAGAGGTATCTTTAAAGCCATTGCATGTTTTAGTGGAAGACGCAGAACTGGATGCAAGTTGGGCGTGGTCTGGTAATTTTTTCTACTGACTTATCGTTAAAAGCAAAAGGCAAAACAGAAAAACATTGACACTCTGAACTGCCAGGAGTTGAAATATCACATCCCGCAGGTCCAAATGAGACTAAGAATAGTTTCAACGATCCTTATTAGTGGACTTGTTGTGAGTTAATGCGAGTTTAGTAGCGAGTTTAGTAGTTTTGACTGGTTAGCTTCCTTTATTCCACTTTATTTTATTTTGACGTCTTCTATTCCTGTTTATTGCAATATCTTTGACTCTCCAAGACACTTCAATCATCTTATTGGATATTTAGACTTCTAACTACAATGATTTCAGGACTAGCTCAATTTTGTATTGTTGATATTTGACCTATTTCAATAGCAGATCATAATGTTATGTATACGGATAGCTTAGAAAATTTATCTCACCCACTATGATATTAACATGTTTGAATAATAATAATAATGACAATAACAATAATAATAATAATAATAGTAATAATAATAATAATGTGTTTGAATGCTCTATTTTTTTAATTTTAATTTTTTTTTGTATGAATAGTTTTACTTTCCATATATAAGTTTGAAAAACTCTAGGAATACAAAAACAAGAGCGATCAAAATTTTGATATATATCTGGAGTAACAAACCAAGAAGGTTTTCAAGGCTGATCCAACATTGTGCTCAAAGTTCATTCACTGGCAGTTGGAGTGGTCTGCCTTTTATAAGCGTTTAATTTTCAGTGTCACTGATCAAACGATTTTCTGGAAGTGTTTGCAAGGCTGATCTCGAGCTTGGCGCCTTGATTTTAGCAACCTCCTTTCCACTAGGATCTTTTGTGACCTGTAGCTCTTTCAACATCTTTGTAAGCTTCCTCAAGCTTAAATCTTGCAAAGATTGCTTACTGTCATTACCAGCAATGCCTTTGTAGACTGGTTCTGGGACAGCATTAGGTATGAGAGAAGCTAGGGGAGGAAAAGCATGAGCAGCAATATCCACATTAATCGCAGCATGATCAATTTCAGATTCTTCCATAGGTTCTTCTCCATAGGATCTTTTGTGATCTGTAGCTCTTTCTTTCAACATCTTTGTAAGCTTCCTCAAGCTTAAATCTTGCAAAGATTGCTTACTGTCATTACCAGCAATGCCTTTGTAGACTGGTTCTGGGACAGCATTAGGTATGAGAGAAGCTAGGGGAGGAAGAGCATGAGCAGCAATATCCACATTACTCGCAGCATGATCAATTTTAGATTCTTCCATAGGTTCTTCTCCAGCAACTACTTCTGAAACATGTAAACACTGCTGACTTCCACTCACCTTAACCTCACATTCACCTTCCTGGGCAGCAGCATCAGGTGTGAGAGAAGCCAAGGGTGGAAGACCATGAGCTGCATTATCCACATTAGCCTCAGCATAATCAACTTCAGATTCTTCCATGGATTCTTCTTCCCCGGCAACTTCAAGAGCATCAACTTCACTATCCATATTAGCCTCAGCTTGATCAACATCAAATTCTTCCATGGGTTCTTCTTCTTTAGCAACTTCCAGACCACGATCCACATTAGCGTCAGCATGATCAACTTCATATTCTTCCATGGGTTCTTCTCCAGCATCTTCCATGTTAGCTTCGGAAGCATCTTTCAAACACCGCTGACTTCCACTCACCTTAGCGTCCTCGTCGTTAAATTGCCCCAATGGATTCATCTCATGGAAATCTATGTTAGTGTCTGGATTGACACTTGCAGGTTCTCCCATTAACTCGTCCTTTCCTGCAAGAGCGATTAACTCTTCCTGAATGCTCTATGCAAGAGCGATTCACTACTTAATTTGAGAAAGTTACTCAGATCGTAAAACATTCACTACCATATAGCATTTTCAGTCTTACAATTGCTCTGTAGAACTTACCTTCATTCAAATTGTGGAATATAAGTTTTATACCACAACTATAAGACCGACAATGTTATATGGTAGTGAATGTTGGGCCGCTAAAGTCCAACATATCCACAAGATGAGTGTTGCAGAGATACGGATGCTAAGATGGATGTGCACAAGATTAGATAAGACTAATAATGACCGCATTCGCCAGAAGGTGCAAGTAGCATGCATTGAAGATAAAAGTAGAGAAGGTCGCTTGAGATGTTTTGGTCATGCGTCGACCTATAGATTCGTCCGTATGTTTAAAATCATGGTGAATGAAGGTGTTATGGGTAGACCTAAAATTGCATGGAAGGAAGTTGTCTCGAAAGATCTAAAGACTTAGCTAAAGATAGGACACAATGGAAGCAATAGATCCATATAGATGATATCTACTAGTTGGAAATAAGTGTTAGCCTTCTCTAGTTAGAGAACTTCTATTATTATTATTATTATTATTATTATTATTATTATTATTATTATTATTATTATTATTATTATTATTATTATTATTATTTATTTATATTTAACTTATTTTTCACTTTTCTTGTTTGGTATGATGATGACATGAGTTGAGCTTAAATGAAGAAGTGATGATTCATATTGCCGGCTCCGACTTCTTTGGGATTGAGGCGTAGTAGTTGTTGCTGCTGTACTCAGACCTTATCAATTCTGTGCTGCTTATCTTCCCGTAGAAGTACTTTCATTATTCGTCACCAGCAGATATTACAAAGTAAAAGGCAAACAAGTATTTGATTATAGTGTTGGTAGTTGATGCTTTATTAGAGATCATGTGACACAACTGTTTCTGCTGTTTGTGTGTTAAGTGCTGTCACGTGAGCATATAGATGGAGTGTTCTACTCTGGTCCTAGCTTTTCCTACATGAAGATCTAATATTCCAACTACTCTCTTGAGGACAACCTCAATTTCAATGACTACCCTCACCCTTTGGGAATTCTTTTGACTATGCCATCCATATTGCTAATCTAAGGCAAGCAAATAGAGACAGGTTATTTTCATCTGGTCACATGACCAGCACATGTGCAAAATCCCTTTAGGTTTGATGGTCTGATGGTTTGGAGAGAAAAAATTCTCGCTTTTGGCCTACTTGAAGGATGTTTTTTGTAAAGAGTGATACTTAAGAACTAATATTTGAAGGGCATTGGTCAAATTTTGTTACTCTGCTATAAACAAGTCCTTAAATTTGTTTCCTCCAGTTATCCGTAATTCTGATAGTTTTTAATCTACTGTTTTTTTCTCTGCTGTGTTGCACTCCAGTTTTCAAAAGCAACTGGGAGAATTAAAGAAGCAATTTCAAATATTCCTGTTGCAACTGAAGATGATGATGTAGAAGAGGCTGCTTGTTTGGAAGAAACGACCGAAGCTGAGAATGAAGATGCCCCGACGGGCAATAAAGAAGAGAGTGATCCATTTGGACTTGATGCTTTGATTCCGAGCACATCAAAGAAAGACGACAAATCAAAGGGGAAGAGGGTGACCCTGGCTAAAGCAAGAAAAGGAGAAGAAGAAGAAGAAGAAGATGAAGAAGAAACCAAGAGATTCCTGAGATCACAGCGAGAAGCCTTGATTTCCTGTTTAGAAATTGCCGCGAACCGTTACAGAACGCCATGGTCGAGTTTCTATGAACTATTAAAGCTTTGTTATGTCCTTCAGCTAATTAAAATGTCAAATACGCTATTATCTTACGATTTCTCATAGGTTGTTACTTTTATTTGTTAGGTGCCAAACAGCTATTGACATCTTAGTCAAGCATGCATTTGATAATATTTCAAGGTTCACCTCCCGACAGAGGGATGCTATTGGAAAACTTTGGGCTTCTGTCCGTGAACAGCAAGTTCGGAGGAAGCAAGGGAAATCTGTGTCTGGGAAACTTGATGTAAATGCTTTCGAGCATCTCCAGGCAAAATATGCAACTGAGAAGATCAGCATCCGGCGTGCTGTTGGAGGCAGTGGGGATCGGAAGTGTCAACAGTGGCTTGGTTGATTTGATTTCTTTAGTAATGCAATTTAAAGCAAGGCACATCTGGTTGGAAAATTAGTCTTTGCTAGTTATGATTGTATTTTCTCTGAGAAAGAGGACTAACATTTGTGCAAGGACATGAATTCCATGGTGAGCAAAAGTGAAACACTACCAACCTTTTTTTCGTTCCCTTGTGTGTCTTAGTGAAATATTACACTGTTAGATGTTGAAAGTACTTTAACATTCCTATGACTGATGTCACTTCCATCGTCTCATTTGTCGTTACTAGGGGTGGAAATATGGTTAAAAGAAAACAGTTAACCACCTATTATTCACTAAAAAATGGGTTGGATAATCAACTTTTTAAAAACGGGTCAAATATGGATAAGAACTATATTATCCATTTAGAAAATGGATAACCAATGGGTCTAACTTTTACATTTGTAAAGCATCAAATTGGGGGTTCCTCAAGTTAGGGAGATTAAGAATTCTTCCAAAAGTGATCATATGCAATAAGTCATGGATAATATGGTTACTCATGTTATCCGCCGGTTAATCCGTTTTTTATTCGTTTTAAATATAGGTCGGGGTCGGATAATTTATCTGTTTTTTCATTACCCGTTTTTGACCCAAATCATATCTGACACGGCCCGCCCGTTTGCCACTCATATCGTTACTATTGGAATTGTATTGTCGTTGCATAGAACATGGCATGCTTTACCAATATGAGTAACTTCATATAGAAGGTGCTAGAGTTATTTGAAGGTAAGAGAACCTAATTAAACATTGGAAATAATAAGATTTTCTGTTTCGAAAAGAATAACACTATCGCCAATTGTGGGGCTGAAACTATGGGTGTTTAACGGGTGGACCGGGTCGGGCTGGGTAGGAAATTTTAGTATACGTACGGGTTATGGTCCAGGCCGGTTATGAGTTGGGGCCTACCGAGTTTAACGGGTTTGGGTTCATCTGGATAAAAATTGAACCGTAAGGGTTACGGGTTGATGAGGCCGAGCCGGGCCGGGCCGGGTTTAGTGTTATTTTTAATTATTTTTTTTTGTATTTTGTATAATTATTGTAAGTTATATTAATACAAAGTAAAAATATAAAGAATACAAGGAAGATGGGAAAAATTGCACTTATAAATTGCAAGTGTACATTTATTTCAAAATTCAAACTAACAAATTGAAAGGTTAACATTTAACAAGTAAATTAACCAAGAAAGAGTAAATTCAAAGGTTTTGCATTGTCTTAGTAAGTTCTTCATAATCAATATGAACTGAGTGACCTTCTTCTAGGGTGTTAAATTCGGATGGGTTACCATGTGTTAATATATCTCCAAGTTCCTCGTCTTCTGGGCTATCAACATCTTCACGTCCTTGATTTCTTCGTTCCGATCTAATCCAATCTCTGAAACATACTAAAACTTCCAAATCATTGCTTCCCAATGAGTGACGGGTGTCTCCAAGTTGTTGTCTTGCTTGGCTAAATGCACTCTCTGATGCAACAATTGAATTGACACATTCAGCACGTCCCGAGCCATAGCGAAAAGAATAGGAAATTGCTTTCCATTCTCATGTCACCATCCCAACGGTGAAAATTCCTTTGTGCGAGCCTTTTTTTGCTTCTGCAAGTAGAATTGAAGTTCATCAATGTTCCTGCTACTGGTTTGAGTGTTAGAAAATATAGAAAAAATATTAAAACTGTCAAGGCCTTCTTCATCATCCACAGTAACAGAAGTGGTACAATGCATAGTGGGATTAACATTGCCTACACTAAGAGCATCATCATCAATTACATTTGTATAATAATTATATAATTGTTGTAAATATTCATTTAGCTTGTTCATACAAGTATATAAATCTGGGGTTTCAGTTGGTCCAATCTCCATATAAGTATATAAAGCATTCATTAATTGGTGACAATCAGATATCTTAATAGAAAGATTTAAAACATCACCAATTAAGTAAATCGGAGGAATTGGAAAGAAATATTTTTTGAATTTTGCTTGCATTTTTTCAACAACATCCCTATATTTTTCATTCCTCTTAAATTCAAAGAGTAGGAAAAAAATTTCAGCTATATGTACTAAAGCCATAGTAACAGTAGGGTAATATGCTCCAGAAAACTCAACAGTAGCTGTGTAAAAATTTAACAACATCATTAATGACCTCCCAAGTAGTAGTTGTTAACATACAGTTTGGATCAGTACAATGCGCATTAGCAACTTCAGTTATTGGGAATCAATATTTGTAGCAATATTTTAAAAATATATATGTATAATTCCATCTAATAACAATTTCGTCTGGCATGAATTTGGGTTTAAGGTTATATTGGACACACTTATTCTTAAATTCCTTTATTCTAGATTGTCTATTATTTCCTTGAATAACACCAACTGCTCTTCTAACATGAGTAATCTCAGTTGAAAATAAATCAAGGCCACTTTTAACAATTAAATTATAAACATGACATGCACACCTAACATGAAAAATTTCATCAAGAGGTGGTTGCAAATGCAGTTTTAATATTGAAATTGCGGCATTATTGTTAGAAGCATTATCAAAAGACATACACAATACTTTTTGCTT